GGATGCTTGAATGATGGAAAGCAAATTCTTAATCAATGTTGGCATTCCCAACAAAATTATTTTACAGCCATTAATGGTCTTAATTTTGCGCTATAAAAAAAATAGATAATTTCATTTATATGAAAAATGAGCTAGACCATCATGTGGAAGAAGAGTGGAGGAAGAGTCCTCCATCAACAACAGAGTTTCTAGAGATCACGAACCTAGTTACCTGCCTATGAACTAGTGCATTGCTCATTGGCTGGTTTTTAATTAAGGCCTCAAACTTTATTTTACTCAAAAATGATAAAGTTGGTTGCTTTGCATATTGAAATCATATACAATATAAGGATTCATTTGAAACCAATCCTAATAAACTATGAGAGATAAGAGGACAAAATTTACTGATTGAGATATGTTAGACCTGTGAGTGTCACAAATGGAGAGGAGAAATGTTAGTAATCACACAGGTTTGCAAAATTTGTTGGTATGGAATTTGTAAAAACTCTAAGTCAACAACACAAAGTAAGGTTTGGATGAAATGATCATTTGAAAATGATGGTGTATCCATTTTATGATGTGAAATATGGACATAATTAAGTTCAAACATGTGCCCCACCTTGCGATTAGTTCTAAGAAGTTGTCTTGTCTGTGGATCCCACACACGACCATCATGGGTGAAAAATGTTACTTCAAAGTTACTTCAAAGCCAATATCACATAATTTGTTAACAGATAAAAGATTATAACTTAGTTTTGGAACTAAGAGAGCATTTGATAAAGTCAATGACTTTGTAGAAATATTGCCAATATGACTAATTTTCATAGGGGAACCATCAGTAAAATAAATATCATGAAAGGAATTATTTAATGACATTAAAGAGAAATGGGCAGTACTTGAAGACATATGATTACAACAACCAGAATAAAAATACCAAGGTTTGGTACCTAGAGCAGCAGATAAGGCAACAAGAGCATTAAAAAGATTTAATATCACCTGTTTTGGGAATTCAAGATTCACATTAGATTGGTCTATCACTTCTTTGGCAATCAAAGCAGAAGTAGGATGAGTTACAATTCTTTCAAAACTCGTCATAGAATTAGTAAAACTCACAATACTAAAAATAAAAATCCCTAAAAAATATGAAGAAGTAGATGCCAAAATCAAAATAACAACTCAACAAAATACCTTAGAAAGGGTCTGAGAATTGAGAATAAACAATCCAATTTGCAAGAAAAGAGATTCCAATGACAAAGTTATTCCAATGACAAAGTTTTAGATCCGAAATCGATTTGAAAATCCAACTCAAAAGCCAAACAACAATGATAAAAGAGAAGAACTAGAAACTTATAACTCTGATATCATGTTAGAAATATAAAAGAAGGAGAAATATTTGAAGAAAAATTTATTGTTTTCTTGTTTTCATTATATATATATACACATATAAAGGTCCTATATATAGATTTATATAATAGAATATTCTTAGATATAAAACTATACAATAGAATATTCTTAGGTTAAAACCAATTAGTTTGAATATATATAATCAATTACAATGGGAACTTAATATTCTAAAATAAATGTTGATATTGTAACAATAGGGTTATAATACATCCCTCAAATCATAAATCTAAATGTGGCCTTATTCAATCCGGACCCAGAATAATCTACGTCATGTGGTATGATTAAGCTCCAATTTTAGAACAAATTAGTCTTAACCCCTAGGAGTTGTATTGATTTGAAAATAATGTCATTTTGTAATTTAAGTTTAAAATTAAATTTTTGTCATCTACCATCCAAAAAAATTAATTTTTTTGAGTGCATAAGGTCATGTGGGGTGTATATCTTTAAAATTTTGTAAAGAAGAAATTAGTCTCAAGATAAATAAAAATTAGTCTGGAAATACCTGGCTATTAAGAAATAAAAATTAAAGATGAGTCTTAATTTGGTGTTTGCCCCTTCCTATTAAAAAGGATCAAATCATATAATAATTAATGTTATTATTAAAAAAAAAAGAATTAAATCATGTAATAATTAATTTAATTATATAAGGAAGATATATAACACTGTTATGAAGATTAATCAACCAAAGGAAAATTAATTTACAAATTGATTAATTTTAAAAATTTGATATTGATTATAATTTTATTAATAGAAATTTTTTAATTAATTATTATTTTCTTATATTATGAGCTTGTTAGGTATATCGGTTTTGAGATAACGGTTAGGGGTTTTGCTTAAATTGCTAAGGATAAGTACATGGTAAACTTGTCTATTTCGAAATTACTACAAACTAAGTATTGATAAAAATTTTTATTTAATAGTTTAAAACTAGCGGATATCAGTTAAGATTTAAACTATTAGCAAATTAAAAAAGTTATCTAAGATAACTTTTTGTGCTAAATCTCTAATGGATTTAAATTTTTTAATTTTATTAATAAATTTATCCATTTTAATTTTT